GGTGGTTTGGTCATTCAGAGAGAATGGATCAAAGTAGAATGACATGGAGAGCGTATAAATCTGTAGGGGAAGGAAGGCGGAGTAGGGGTCGTCCACGAAAAGGTTGGAGGGAGGGGGGTAAAGGAGGTTTTGTGGGCGAGGGGCTTGGACTTCCAGCAAGCGTGCGTGAGCGTGTTAGATAGGAGTGAATGGAGACGAATGGTATTTGAGACCTGACGATCTGTTAGAGTGTGAGCAGGGTAATATTTAGTGAAGGGATTCAGGGAAACCGGTTATTTTTATATAGCCGGACTTGAGTCCTGGAAATGGGAAGTACAATGCCTGCACTCTAAAAGAGGGGTTCGGGATATTAGCAGTTTGGAGGGATAGGTTGTGTATCTTTATACGTATATGCTTCTAAGCTGTTGTGTTCTGAGCACCTCTGCAAAAACAGTGATTATGTGTGAGTGAAGTGAAAGTGTTGAATGATGATGAAAGTATTTTCTTTTTGGGGATTTTCTTTCTTTTTTGGGCCACCCTGCCTCGGTGGGAGACGGCCGACTTGGTAAATATATATATATATATATATATAATATATATATATATATATATATATATATATATATATATATATATATATATATATATATATATATATATATATATAATTGACAAAATAGGGAATAGAACAACGTAAATAACATCTCAGAGCATACATCTCGAATACTTTGTCCAACTCCCCGGCGATGGGCCGCGTGCCCAGAGTGCTGCAGGCATTTTTTCCCTGGATCGCAACACTGAGTCTCTGAAAGAGGAAGCTGGCCGCTCTGTAATCCTTAGTTTCTGTGATGAGCTTTTCTCCCAGCTCTTTGAGGAACTTTAGAGCACACTTCCCCATGCTCCAGGGGTCTCTACTGGGATGAAGTTATAGCAAGGGGGCAGGCTTTCATATTTGTGGGTCCTCTGGGTATCCCTGTAGCTGGCGGCTCCACCCTTTCAGCTTTAGAGTATGGCAAGTAGGTGCCCACCAAAGTGGCGGCACAGGTGTAGTCCCAGGCAATCTGCATACCATCCTTCCAGGGTAGCATAGTGACTCCATCAGGATGCTTTTGACTTCCGTCAGACATCTGTAATGAACGATTGTCAGTGGCTAAACAAAAGAATGAACTGGGAATGGAACCGTGGTCCCTGCATTTACCAGGTTCAACATTGTAACCACTTATCCACGGAGCTTACGAAAAGATGATTTTACAACCAAAAAACTGAGCCTTGGTTGTATCAGCGGGGTACAAAAATACACGTGCCCTGAAAACTTCTGGGGCTGTTAGACCAAAAGCCACAGTTGTGTTGCCTGTAAAATAATCCTATTTTAACATTCGTAGCTGAGAGGTTAGCGTTGGGCCTGGTTCGATTCCTCAGCCAGAGCAAGGAAAAAAGGGCTCCACACAACTACTAAACTGCCACAATCAGTATCACAACAACCACTAAGCTACCACAATCAGTATCACCACAATGAGCAGTCACAATCAGTACCAGTCACAATCCACTAAACTACACCAGTTTACTACCACAAACAGCTAATAAACTATCACAATCAGTACCACCACAATCACTAAACTATTACAGTCATTATCACTACAACCATTAAACTATCATAATCAACACCATCACACTCACTAAAGTACCACAATCCATACCAACAACAACCACTAAACTACCACAATCAATACCACCACAATCAACCAACCCACCACCACTTCAAATCTTCACTAAGACATTTTGCATCATCACGTCCCTCTTACATCCTCTTAAAGGAGACGTTGAAGGAAGAGAAGGAAGATGAGATGGTAAAAGAGGAGGAGGAAGAGTAGGAAGAGGAGTAGGGGAAAGAGGAGGAGGAGGAGGAGGAGTAACCCAAGAGGAGGTGAGAGAAGAACATTTGCATGCAGATGAGGTGACTGCAGCAAGTGTCGTGGACAGTGTCGTGGAGACAAGCTCAGCCATGTTAAAGGTATTACTATCCACCAATAAACATAATTTTTGCGGGCACTCCTGCAGGAATTCGTCGTTGTGTGTGTCCTGGTGGGGGAAGAGATGTTGACGGAGGTGAGGTTAAGGGGGAGGGTAGGTACTGACGGGAGGGAGAGGGTGAGGAGGTGTTGACGGTGGCGAGACTGGAGGAGGTATTGACGGTGGTGAGGCTGGAGGAGGTGTTGATGGAGGCGAAGCTAGGAAAGACGCAGAAGGAAGGATAATGGAGGTTCTCGTCATACATGGAAGTACATGGGAAAGACAGATAGCGGAGGTCATAGAAGTCCACATCCAGGTTATCTGCTGAGAAAAAAGTTTTGCTGGTTACTGGGAGCCCAGGGTGAGGTTATATACTGACTGACCTTCCAATGATGACATTCCAGTGATGACGTTTCAGTAACGACGTTCTAATGACGACGTTCCAATGATGTGCGAAGCCTCAGGGTAACTACTGCACTTTTCTTTATGACTTAATGACAGAAGGTTTATTCACTTTTCTATTTTCTTTGCGAGACATTTTCATTTTCTTTGCGACATTTCTATTTTCTTTGCGAGAAGCTTGATTGTCTTTGGTTTGACTTCTCTCTTGCATTTTCTCTGCTACGGCCAGAGTTTTCTTCCTCTTTCATTTCATTGTGTGTGTGTGAAGTACCCTGAAGTCTTCCTCTTGGCATGGTGACGAGACTCTTGTTCCTAGACCTCTTGTTCCTAGACCTCTTGTTCCTGAACCTCTTGTTCCTGAACCTCTTGTTCCTGAACCTCTAGTTCCTTGTCCTCTTTTTTCCTTCTTGTGATCTACTCTAAATATCTCTTTCCCTACCTGTCTCTCTCTTCTATCCATTCAGTCTCCTTTTTGACATTTTTTTCCTTGTGAAATTTAACTTCTAGGAAAAAAGAGATCGTTGTCAGTCCCGTTCTGACGTGGACTTTGGTGTTGGTGTTGTCATGAAGTGGGAATTGCCTGGGGAGATGTTGGGCTGCCCTCCGTATCCCCGGAGGACAGCCTCCCGTGTCCTTGGATGACAGAAGTGTTCCCGGAGGCTGCCCTCCAGGTGTAGCTGCCTAACACGTACGAATCCTGGCGTTTCCCATCACCCGCCTCTACTGTTGGCTCAAGTCAGTTGTGGAGGGCCAGTCCTGGTGTATTGGGAATGATGAGTAAGACACATGTGCAACAGTTGGGTATCTTTATTGTTGAAACGTTTCGCCTACGCGGTAGGCTTCTTCGGTTAAATACAAAGAATAGGTTGTAGACAGCAGTAGTGGCTACGTAAATTTAGATGATGCAATCAGTCCATCAACTTTAGTTGATGGAAATAGGTTAGTTAAGATTTGACAAAAACAGGATGTTTCCTGACGCGGAGCTTTTGGTCATCTGACTGAAGCCTTCCACCGGCGTACCCCTCCACCTACTTCAAACTCCCACGTTGTCCCAAGTCCTCTGATAAAGTATTATTATTATTTCCACCTACCAGCCATCTTTGGATGTTGTGAGAGAAAATACCCTGAGGTTCACTGCTCCTCAGCATCTTTTTAAGGTTTCTTGATCCAAGAAATTTGAGCCAACCTGCCCTTCCATAGGTAATAATAATAATAATAATAATAATAATAATAATAATAATAATAATAATAATAATAATAATAATAATAATAACAATTATTTTTGTACCTTCGTCTAATTCATCAAATTATCCTGATTTTCCTTTTTTTTTTTTATTTTCTTACGCCTACTGACCACCAGAATAATTGGCCTGGCCCAGACACAAGATTTTATTAGGCTTTCGACGATAGCGCAGCTTGCGCCGCAGAAACAAATGCTGCTTATTAAAATCCGTCTTCTGCGAGGCAGTTAATCGCTGAGATCAGCCGCGCAGCGCAGCGTTGTTTGCGCTCCCAGTGTCCGCTGGGAGAGCAATTACTGACTGGTCTTTTAGTGATGGTTCACCTCGAGGTGATTTTAGACCCTCTGGTGCCTGGGTTTAAGTATCAGTTTTGTTTGGGTTCTCGTGATTATTTCCCGTGATGGATTCCGTTTTCAATCTGAGGAAGTTGTTTGGTGGTGGACGGGGGGGGGGGGGGGGGGAAGGGGGTCGTGGTGGTGAGAGTGGTGATGGTGATAGTAGTGTTGGTGGTGATAGTAGTGGTAGTGGTTTCTCCAGCGCTCTGAGTTCGTTCATTCTATCATTTTTACTCACTTGCCTTTTTCATTAGACCAGAGTGTGTATTCTCGTGCTTTATTTAGTCATGGGTTCAACGCTGGTGCTGCTGACTCTAGTATTGCCAAATAAAATCAGGACGATCTAATTTTGGTCATTGGATTTTCAACTGGCCATTCATAAGTCATTTTTATATTTGTTTTGACCATAATATTTCGACATGTTTATCTCAAATGCCCCACGTTTCGAGCAAATATTAATTTGTTAAAAAAATCGAAAAAAAAACATTGTGGATTTTATTGTACAACAAGAGAGGAGATATACGTTAACACTCTCCAGCGAGTGTACGATATCGTGGTGGTGGCGGCCAGGACTGACAGGGTTGTTAACTTAATTTCTCATGGGACAAAATAACTGACGCGAGCTTTAACTACACTCGTTCAGTTCATGGTGAGGTTACAATAGTGCCAGTACCACGGAGGGTTCAATGGTGCCAGCACTATGGAAGTAACGAGACAGTTGACTGGTTAATTAGGGTTTAAAAGAAGCATATTAACTACTGAGAATACGATTACATGTCGCCCCTTCACCACTAGTCAAGAATACTGTATAATCCCTAAAACAAATTAAATTTAAACCCTCTTTGTATATACACTGAGAGACATGCACCTCCCTGTGCATAGACACTGATATATATAAATATCTTAGTATGCTATATATATAATCTGCGAGATAGTGTAATTTATACGAGGTGTGAACTAGCCGCGACAGTAGCGACCTCAGCGTTGAGGTGTAGTCTAGGTTACTACCTCTGTTTGCAAGTGACTGGTGGAGTGTAGCGGTATTTTAGCGAATTTTTCGATATTTTCCTTCGCATTTCGCCGTATTTTATGCACTCATTGTTCCTTGACGTATTCAGTGAGTCTAGACGTAATTAGTGGTAATAGGCATTGCTGCTGTTAGGAGAGATATTAGACGAGCAGGGACTGCATGATGTGGTCGGTGCTAGGAGAGTACTGGGTCAGTCCGCTGCCAATACTGCACATCTCAGACGCATAAAGTAATTCCACATTTAGGTAAGTTTTCGACTTTTTATAATGAAAGCGGTATAATGATGTATGTAAGTAATGTTATGTATGTATGTATGTATGTCGTGCCGAATTAGTAAAACTTGCGATTTTGGCTTAAACAGCACGGCACTTCTTGCCGAATTGGTCAAACGAAAATTTGTGTATGTAATATTTCCCCCCAAAAATCTTCCTGAATCTAACGTAAAAAAAATATATTTCATTGTGTTTGTTTACTATTAAATTATTGTAAACTTATCTAAAATATATTTAGTTAGATTAGGCTAAATTAAATTACGCTTGTTATAATAAGGTTAGGTAAGTTTTCTAAAGTTCTTTTGGTATAAAATTATTAATTTTTACCTTAACATACATGAAAAAAATATATCCTTAAACGTATAAGAGAAAATTTTTAGAAAGGGCTTAATTTTAAATGAGTTCTTGCTAATTGTCCAATTTTACCTATTAGGCACGACATATATATATATATATATATAATATATATATTATATATATATATATATATATATATATATAATATATATATATATATAATTTCTCGTCTTTTTTTAAATTTATATATAAAACTACCATTTTAAATTGACTAAAAAAAAACCAGGGACTGGTAAATTATGTTTCCTTGTTAAAAAAGCAGACATGAACTGCGAACAGTAATAATTTTGTAAATTAGTTTGTTGCGCTGAATTGCGGACAAGATATTGTAAATCGCTGCCGAGGTTGTAAATTACCACCGAGGTTGTAAATGTTCTTGTGTGGTGTTTACCTGCTCAGTCTACCTGAGCAGGTAAAACTCAGCAAGGATTATCTACTTTTATGAATGTTAGAAAGAGGTATGTGTGGGGGGGGGGGGGGGTTGTGTGTGTGGGGGTGTTTGTGTGATGGTGTGTGTGTGGGGGGAATGTTTGTTTGTGCGGGGGGTTGTGTGATGGTGTGTATGGGGGAATGTTTGTGTGCGGGGGGTGTTTGGGGTGGGGGGGTGTTTGTATGTGTGGTGGGATTTGTGTGTGGGGGGAATGTTTGTATGTGCAGGGGGGGGGGTGTTTTGTGTTGGGGTGTTTTGTATGTGTGGGGTGTTTGTGTATTGGGGGGTGTTTTATGTGTGGGGTGTTTGAAATGTGCGAGGGGTGTTTGTCTTTGGGGGTGTTTGTGTTTCGGGGTGTTTCCCTGTGTGGGGGTGTTTGTATGTGCTAGGGGTGTTTGTGTTGGAGGTGTTTGTATGTGTGGGAGTGTTTGTATTGTGTGTGGGGGTGTTTGTGTTGGGGGTGTTTTTTATGTGCTGGGGGTGTTTTTATGTGCTGGGGGTTTTTATGTGTGGGGTGTTTGTGGGTGTTTGTGTGTGCGGTGGGTGTTTGTGTGTGGGGGGGGTTTTTGTGTTTTTGGGGTGTTGTATGTGTGGGGGTGTTTGTGTTTGGAGGTGTTTTGTAGTTGGGGGTGTTTGTATGTGTGGGGGTGTTTGGTGTTTGTGGGTGTTTGTGTGTGTGGGGGGGTTTTTTGTTTTTTGGGGGTTTTTTTGTATGTGTGGGGGTGTTTGTTTTTGGGAGGTGTTTGTATGTGTGGGGGGGGTTTGTATGTGTGGGGGTGTTTGTGTTTGGGGGTGTTTGTATGTGTGGGGTGTTTGTGTTTCGGGGTGTTTGTGTGTGCGGGGGGTTTTTGGTGGGGCGGGGGTGTTTGTATGTGGGGTTTGTGTTTGTGGGTGTTTGTGTGTGCGGGGGGTTTTGTATGGGGTTGGGGTGTTTGTGTTTGTGGGTGTTTGTGTGTGCGGGGGGTGTTTGTGTTTGGGGGTGTTTGTATGTGTGGGGGTGTTTGTGTTTCGGGGTGTTTTGTGGGGGCGGGGGGTTTGTGTTTGGGGGTGTTTGTATGTGTGGGGGGTGTTTGTGTTTGGGGGTGTTTGTGTGGCGGGGGGTTGTTTGTGTGTGCGGGGGGTGTTTGTGTATGGGGGTGTTGTGTGTGGGGGGGTGTTTGTGTTTGGGGGTGTTTGTGTGTGGGGGTGTTTGTATGTGTGGGGGTGTTTGTATGTGTGGGGGTGTTTGTATGTTGGGGGTGTTTGTATGTGTGGGAGTGTTTGTATGTGTGGGGTGTTTGTATGTGGGGGGGTGTTTGTATGTGTGGGGGTGTTTGTATGTGTGGGGGTGTTTGTATGTGTGGGGGTGTTTGTATGTGTGGGGGTGTTTGTGTTTGGGATGCAGTTCTGTTACTATATCACAAATTATATACACTTATGGATGTCAGCAGGAGTCAACTGGCAGGGCTGCAGCTGCTCTTGTTATCACCTCTCTAGATAAGAACTATATCAACCATGTTGAGTTAGGCATAAGAATTAACAACTGGGCGTCTACACTTCAAGCCGATTTATTTGTCATCCTAATGGTGCTAAAGCTAACTTATGACACTTTACTTGACTCTGATTATTACTAATTCTATGTCATCACTGAAGGCTCTTGACACGTATAATGACTCTTAACAAACATGCTCATTGGAGAAGCAAGATATACATACTCAGAAAAATCCGCGAAGGAAGGAATTAATGTACAAATGTTATGGATTCCATCACATATTGAATTACTCCTTCATGATAAAGTTATAAGTTAGCCACAGTACCCAGAAGGAAAGTGAAGAATATAACTTGGGTATATTTGTGTCTAGTGGTAAGATAATACTGAGGGAGAAGGAAATAATCACAGTGAATGTCATTTGAGTGCAGCGAGAAATCTTCAGTAGATATATCACTCACTATAACAACATGAACGTAGATAAGAACGTTTACAGAGCAATTTGCATTGCGAACAGACTGATGTTGTAGCCAGGCTTATGCTTGGTTACAAGCACTTCTGGCAATTTGGCAGACACACACATGATTAAACTAAATGCAAAGTATGTGGCCAGCACTATGGTCACTATCTTGAACACTGTGTGCTTGATTGAGGAATATAGAGACAGTGTTATAAGTGAAGGTATCTTATTAATGAAAATATAATACCAGAAATATTAAGTAATCATTTTAAATTTGCTGGTATAACAGATAAGACAATCTTCAGATGTATCCAGATTGTACTCCTGTTAATCATTGGGGCCTAGTTATTGCCTGATGTTCCTAGGCCTAATAGGAGGAGTTAGGATTGATATAGTGTACACAATAAACTAGCCACTACCATCTACAGGATGAATATGGAGTGCACAATAAATTAACCACTCCGGCGGTCAAAAATATAAACTTATATGACCATTAACAATAACAACAACAGCATCCATAACAGTTATAGGTACAATAAGACTGACAACAGTCAACGTAGAGGAACAGAAAAATATAAAAAAGGGGCC